CCCCCACACACACACATACATTGCTAGACATCAGTCAACTTCCTTCAAAACCCCATTCCATGCGTTTATATACCATATCTACAGGTCCAGCCTGTTACAAGTGCCGTAAAACTCCTTTAAAAAAAAAAAAAAAAAGAAAAAGAACCATTCGCTTCTTAAAAGTGGGTCAGTCTCTTAACATTGTTTTAACTTTGATTTTTCTTCTCCTGTTTTTCACCTTGACATATTGATTTTTTAAAAGTGTTTTTTATGCCACATAAAGAAAATTAAGGTATAAACTTAGATCAAATAAATTCAGATGTTTAAACACCCCGCTTAATAGAAAGACTTAATTATAAAAGAAGAATGTGCTTCACAATTTTACAATTTACCAGCAAGCTGTAAACACCTTAATTAAATCGTGTTCCTCACGCCAACAACATTGTCTCACCATAGAACAAGAAACCTGAATCCATTCGTATTGTAATAAAGTTCAATGTCTGTGCCAGCTGTAATTACCAACAGTGATCGATCTCCTTTGTCCAGAGTACCTTAATTTTTCTTTTTCTTTCATTGCTTCGCAGTTTGCCCCCCCCCCCCTCCCCTTCCCCGTCCCGAACACGAATGTGACATGCGACGATTTTCTGGCCTTGTGGGAGCTATCCAGTATTGTTTTGACTTTAAAAAAAAGGGCCAGTAACTTTACTCCTATTCTGTCAGTTTGACTGCGTGAAAAAGAATAGTCTTATATAACAGGATTGACATTGCCAACGTCTGAAACGAGGTTTAAATGACAAGGAACACAGGCTTTGTAAAAAAAATAATGCCAGATCGATCGATATGACTGGCGTCTGTGGTGGTGTAGCAGTTAGGTGCTTTATGTCGCCAGCAGCAGAAAACTTAAGTTCGATTCCCTTGTGGTAAGAATTTTTATCGACTATCTCGATCTTTCTGTGCGAATGCTGTATCCCAGACAGGCAGTGTTGCAGCTTGCTTCCAAAATAATGATCCACAGTGGACAACTTACCTTCCCCTTTTCAATCCATCTACCATTTCTATTCTCCCATCACTGTGATAGCCAGGTTTTTTTTCTTCAGGTAAGTGTTTTTACGGCACTCACAACTGCATAAGGTCATATGACCGCGCGGGACACATTACACTTTTTCAGTTGGTAGGAAATTTTGAATTTTGCCCGGGTGGCGACCGAAGCCTACTACTTATCGATTTTAGACCACCAAGAGATCTTTAACGTGCGCAATTTGCACACGGGCCCTCCGAGATTTTTCGCCCTTGTCCGAGAAGGCTAGGTGTAGATCTTTCCTACCAGAAGATCAGGGGCGTGACTGAAAGACAGCAGTAAGAAGGAGCCAAAGGGTAGCAGTAGAAAGGCTGCAGGAAGAGTCCGGAGCCCAGAGGAGGGGGCAAAGGAGGAGAGGGGGTGGGGGCAGAGAGACGAGACGAAAGCAGACGACAGAATAGAGAAGAAAATCTTTCGGTCGATACCCGGATTCGAACCCCGGATCTTTGAATGAGAGGCAAACACCTTAACCTCTCGGCCACGAGAGCCCCCAGCCGGGAGGTTTGGTTTAGTTTGTAGCCAGTCCGTGTTTTGTTTGTTTGTTTGTTTGCGTGTTTTCATGTTGTTTGTTTGTTTTAGAAAAATGTGCGCCAGTTTTAGAAGTCAGAATGCTCTTAGATTTTCTTTTTTTCTGGTGGTTATCCTAACATAAAGCTCATAATTGGTGGTCTAATGCCTTGCAATTGCTTCGATGTATGATTTTTTAGATCATTTTTTTCCGAAATAAAATGTTGATATGCGTCAGTTCTTAGGACTTTTAAGACTCTCAAAAGAGTCAAAGTTTCTAAATTAAATGGGTTACAACACGGCGTCGGTAGCCTAGTGGTTAGGCCCCCAGACTCTTAGTCGTGTGACTGAGGGTTCGGCGGTTCGAGGCTCTGTTCCACCTGCCGCTGTGGCCTTGGGAACGGTCCTTTACACGAACTTACCCCTTGGCTTGGTCCTCTCGGAGATAGACTTTAAATTTAGACGTCCCACCTTCTAAATAACCTGACGGTGCTGCAAAGGGTGATATGGCAAATACGATTTGGCTCATTTTGGGGTTAGTCTATCTTTCGGGTTTGTTTACTTGGCTGTCAAAGCTTTGTATTAGTCTCGATTTTTTTTTCTAGTAATCTTATTAATATATTGAATATCTATCCCGACAGGTGTGAGTGGTATAAAGGTAAGGCGCTTCGTCGTCGCACGATTCCAATGTTGTTATTTTTAAGCCAGTATCTCCGTCCGTCCGCTTTGGGATAGGGGGTGGGGGGGGTGGAGGTGGTTTGTATCCGTCAAGACGGATTGACCCTGACAAGTAGTGTCAAAGCAGCCTGCCGCCTAAATAATCTAAATTGTGCCGATGGGGGCCGATCACACTAAAATTTATTATTTACAATTCTATGTTATCTTTATGATATGTGATAAACGTGTATCTGTGTACCTTTGAGACATCCAGCGTCGCCTGGGTAGTGACCGACGGGCATTGTCCGGGCTTCAGTGCCAGAGATGCGGCGTCAAGAGTCGTCGCCCCAACACACAGCAAAGTGACCACACTCAGGAGTCCTTGTCTTGAGGCCATTGGCTCGGTTTGTTACGTCTTGTAAGGCTCCAGCAACAACAGCAACAAAACAATTTGTTGGCAGGATTTATCTAGTAAGAAGTGCTTAGAGGGATACCTTCAGTACGACACTGTTATACTTCTTTTGCCCAAAAGTGTTGTGAGGGAAATGTTCTGTTTGATCCTTTTATAGAGCCATCCCCTCTACCCCCCCCCCCAACAGTAAGGTGTTAAATAACAACAGATGATAAAATTCCGTTTCACGACCCCGTTTTTCTGTAGTTCCCTCTTTTGTGGGAGGAGGGTTTGGAAATGAAGTTTGTGGTGATAAAAAGGGAGGGGGAGGGGGGGG